CCGCGCGCGGGCCCTGGGGGACAGAGCCCAGCGTGCACGGCGCGGAGTCGGGGAGTGGGGCGCCGAGCCCAGCTCCGGCCGGGCCCCGGGGGCGCACGGGAGCAGGAGGGCTTCGTAACGGCCCTGCCCCCGGCCGGTGACCTCGGGTCCAGCTGGTGGGCCCTGGCAGGGTGTCCCCAACACTGTCACCAGGAGCCGTGAACCCTCCCGTGGAGAAACTGCCGTCGTCCCCAGGGGCCCTCCAGAAACACCCTTGGTCCCGGGGGGCCACCTGCAGCACCCCTTGGACTCCAGTTCCTGTGGCCGGCAAGCTCAGGGTGCCAGCCGACCTTGGAAGTGTGCTGATTGCTGGGGCAGCCGTCACTGCCACAGGGCCCTGGGGAGCATCAGCTGCGCATCTGAAGGCCGGGCACCTGTTTCTCGGGCTCCTACTCCCTGGTCATGCCGAGACAGTGGCCCCATAGCCGATCTGTGGACTTCCATGTGCACTGCTTGTAGGCTGGGCCTAGGTGCACAGCTGTCACCCGCACACCTGGCCTGAAGTCAGGCTCCGCGAGCCGACGTGGCCTGGCTGGGGCTTGGGAGAGCCCTGGGGTCAACCCTGGGCCCAAGCTCTAAACTGCTGTAGGAGCCTCACTTCCCGCTGCATCCTGGCTTCCAGACCCTCTCAGAGGCCGAATTTGCTGGCCAGCTGGAGAGATCCTGGCCGGTCTGCCCGCTGCCAGAGCCGCCCTTCCGCAGTGACTGCCTTCTTTTCCTGTGGGGCTCCATCAGCCCTGCCTGGCCTGCCTCTTGTGGCGGCCTGCCCCGTGCACAGCAGCCGGCAGTGAAGGGGGCTGTACGTTTCCTGCCCTCTCCTACAAGCCTTCCCGGCATTTTCCAGAAACTTGGACATCCGTGCAGCTGGGGGCTCCTGTCCGGTTTGTTTACATGTGTTGTGTATCCCCACCACGGCATGCTGTGGGTGCTCAAGGGGTTACTGACCAGGGTGTGACAGCATCTCGGTGGCTGACAGGCAGCCTGGGAATGCCTGGGCCCAAGCATGCCTACAGACCTATCTAGGTGCAAGTTGCTGCTTCCCGGTGGCAGCCAGAGGAACCTCAGGAGTCCCAGGACATGTCTCTCCAGACCAGTTCTTGGCCACACCTGTTGCCAGCAGCACTTATTGGGTCACCAGGAAGCCACAGCCCAGTGTCACAGTAGGGGAACTTGGTCTGCAGGTGGTAGCCTGTTAGCTTTCTCCGGCTACTGTAAAAAAATTACCCCCAACTCAAAGCCTACGAATAACACCCATTTATTATTTTACAAGTCTGCCTCCAGTACTGGGGACTGAACACTGGTCAGGGCCTTTGCACAGAGCTACACTCCAGCCCTTTTTTATTTTCTGAGACAAGTTCTTGCTAAGTCCTAAGTTGTCCTGGCAGAGTTTGAACTTAGGGATTTAGCAAGCTACCACCCGCATCTACCACTTGGCCTCACCAGGTCCATGTGCCTTTGTGGAAGCCATGCCACCTGCCCAAATGCCAGCTCCTGGGTGTGGTTGAGGGTACAGATCCAAGGTTTCCTCCTCCAGGCAGCCTTCCTGGCGCACCCTCAGGCAGAGCGTCCTCCCTTACTGCCTCCTAGGAGTTACTGTGGCCTCATTCTTCCCTCGAAGGAGGCTGATGACAACAGCGTGTCTGCAGAGTACACCTCAGTGCCGCAAAGGGCTTCGGAAAACCGCAGCACAGCATCACGGGCTCCCCTTCCATCTTCTCCGGGGCTTCAGAGTTGCGTCCTCCCTCTGCCCACTCCACGCCAGCACACCCCCTCCCACTGGCACCCTGACACTGGGCCCCGGCTCCCTGCTCCTCCCGGGCCGAGCGGGCAGCCAGTCCGGCTCAGGCGCCCGAGGCCCTTTATGGGCAGGGGTTGGTTCTCCTTTCTGAACGTAGGCAACAATAAACCCACTGCTTTCTCATACGTCATTCGTCTACAAGTATTTATGGAGCACCTTTTGTGTACCAGGGGTGCACGGGGTGCCCGGGACCAGGATGCGGGGCTCCATTCCACGGGATCCCGACAGCCTTCTCTTACGAGGGCCCCGGCCTTTGGGGCATCCTCCCCACGAGGAACTAGACGCCAGAAGGCAGGAGGAGCCGCAAGGACCGGAGGAGCCGCAATGTCCACACTGCCGGATGGGAACAGGAGGCGTCGGGGCAGGGCGTGGATTCAGACGGCACCTAGAGAGCTTTGGCGCCCCACCTGCACACGGGCAGCCTCGCCCCGCGCGCCTGCTCCGCCTGTTCTCAGGTTCCTCCCGGACTCCACACACTCTCAGTCTTCCGGCTGGCTCGCACCGCCAGTGGGTCACACCCAGAGAGCGGAGGGCTTTTAAGCGACGTAACCAATCGGAGGCTGGAGTTTGGGCTGGAAAGGCGGGACTGTCGTTGCTATAACAACTGGTTCCGGGTGCATTCCGCGCAAATTTGCGCAGGTCAAATAGGAGGAGCAGGGAAGACTGCTCTGAATTAGTAGCCAATCAGAACGTAGAAATGGGCGTTTCTATGGAGATGCAGCTCGCTCTCCCAGCGCCACACCTCCACCCGGGCGAGGAGGGCGGCCCCAGAGCAGGGAACATTGGCGCGGGCTGGCAGCTTAGAGGCGGCGAAAGTGAACCCGGGCGAAGGATCCGGACGCAGCCGCCCTCACCTGACAGATGGGGCGGTGCCACCCCAGGCGTGCTTCCACAGTCGGAGGAGTAAATTATCTTTGAATTTAGACCATTTAGTTAATACAATCTGAAAGCCGGGCTTGGTGGCGCACACCTGAAATCCCAGCACTCGGGAGGCTGAGGCAGGAGGATCGTTTCAAGTTCGAGACCAGCCTGGGCTACAAAGTGGGCTCAAGGCCAGCCTGAACTGCATAATGAGAGCCTGGAAAGGAAAGGAGAGGAGACGGGAGGGGAGGGAGGAAGGAGGGAAGAAAGGGAGGAAGGAAGGAAAGAAAGAACCCAGATTATGAAGCTATGATTTGTTTTTGTGCTGGAGATTCAGTCTAGGACTTACACGGAGATACAGCCCCACTCTTTTTTATTCATTCATTCATTGCTCAGGCTGGCCTCAAATTTGAAATCTGGCCTCAACCTCCGTTGTAGCTGGGATTATATGTTTAGGGTCATTACGCTTGGGGGCGGCCACGATTAGATTTTAATTCTATCGTATGTCAGTACAGGTGTGATGCAGGACAATAGAGAGGATGGAGAGAGCAGGACAGGAGTCAGAATGCAGAAAACTGAGTCCCGATGGAGCCCTCTCTCCTGAAGGGAGAAGGAAGGAAGGAGGAGACACGGAGGGCCCCAACAGCTGCGGCGCGTGTACTTGCACACCCGGGAGGTTGGATGTCACGTGACGCCCCTCCGCCTAATAGCTAACCCACGTGGCTTGCCTCCTGGGTTCTCCAGACTGCAGCAGCTTATCCACGTGACTCGCCTCAGGCGCTGTTCTTTGCTGACCACACTCCGGCCCGCCTGTGTGATAGGTCTCCAGCTGCAGCAGCTCCCCACAGCGGGGCGACCCGAAGGCCCCATGAGGCCGCCCTTCAATGGACAGCGACAGCCGGCGGGCACAGAGTATTCACAGGCGCAGAGGCGGAACCTAACCCTCTCAGCCAGCTACGCCGCAGGTAGGAACTGTGGGAGGGTGACGCCGGAAGTTCCAGCCCATCGGCAGCGCGCACGCCCTCCTTCGGGCTGCCATTGGCCAGTGCAGCGCGTTGCTGCGATCGGGCTTCTGGGAAATGTAGTTCCCGCACGGCGTTCCCCGAGGCCACGCTGCTCTTAGAGCTGGCGCGCGGCTCTGTGCGTGCGCGTCCGAGCCGTGGTCTCTGTGGCGGGATGTGGGTCGGGGCCCTGCTCCCGGGCGGCCCCGCGCCCCCCGGAGTTGGCGCCCAGGGCCCGGCGCGGTTCTGGCAGACTGGCGCTGGCTTCGGTCCCGCCTGCGCTGGTGTGGGGCGCGCGCTGAGCCCCGGCTGCCCCCGGTGGCGGAGGGCCCGGCCGCCGAGTCCCCCCGCCTCGCTGCCGTGCGTCCGAGCTGCAGCGGGGCTCGCCCGGTGTCTGGAGAGGAGGCGCCAGAGCTGGGTTTGGACGGTCAGGTGCGGCGTGCCTCACAGACGCCGAGTGGCGGCCCCAGTGGCCCGGAGTGCGCGGCGGGGACCCAGAGCTCCCGAGGGCCAGCTGGCCGGGGACGGAGCCTGGCCCTGATGGAGGAAGAGCTCATCGTGCCCTCCTTGGGACCAGGGCTGGTTTTCGTTCAGGGCTGCAAAGTCACACCGTGGCAGATAAAGTCCTAGGAGGCAGGCAGGGACCCAGGTCCAGGGTGTCTGCCAGTGAGCCGGGCCTCGCAGTGCCTCAGGAGAGAGAAGGTTGTAACAGGTGAGGGGACAGCAAGTGCAAGCGCAGAGAGAGGCGGCCCTGGAGCCTCGGGGTCCGTGTACAGTTCTAGGTGACTTTTGGCTCTAGGAGCAGGAACAAGTGGGTTCAGCGTGACGACGCTGTAGGATTCCCTTGGCAGTGGGGGCCGCCGGAGGCACGGGCAGGGTGGAAGCCTAGTGCTCGTGCCAGGTAATTTTAGGACACAGTGTGCACTGTAGCATGTAGGGAGCCCAGGAAGATGTCTGTGATGGTAACTGCTGAACTTGTCCTGGGGACTGTGGAGTTGAGAATATCCACAGTACAGGGAGTGACGTTCCTGAAAGGTGGGCAGACAAAAGGACATGGGGCCAGGTACTTGGGGCCTAAGGAAAAAGGATAGTGTAGGTTTGATTGCACTTGAGATATGGTAATTGGGCAGACAGAGGATAAAGGTAATGGGCTGGCAGGTGAGGGTGGGGACCATTTGGTCACCTGTTTATTGTTGCTGTAGGCTGGACAGTTTCCAGTAGTAAATCAGGAAGACAGGCAGCAATTCTAACTAGACTGGTATCCCCTCTGAGGTAGAGGCTTAGGGAAAAGGTGTTATCAGGGTGTATGGGAGATGTGACAGGATCCTTTTCCGTCAAGACCCTGGAGGTGTCCATGCGTCCACATTTTGGCTTTCTGCTTACCTGTTAGCCCTAAGGATCAGCTGAACCTGTCATTGCAGGGGCTGCTGACATCTGAGGATGTGGCTGTGCACTTCTCCCAGGAAGAGCAGAGGCTCCTTAATGTGGCCCAGAGGCACCTGTATCCTCACGTGATGCTGTATAACTTTAAGTCATAAGCTCCCTGGGTAAGTCCTCATGCACTCCTGCAGCACACCAAGCCCCTCTGCCTCTTCTGCATGGGAATTTGTTTTCATTCCAAAGCTGGACCACAGGGGTTGCTTCCTTTCCAGGTTCCCAGTGGTTGAGGTGCATGCTGGAACTGCCTTGCCTCCCTGAGCTGTGCTGTGAGCAGCCCCTGCTGCTGTTGCCTTCATAGGGTCAAGCTTGAGGGTGAGGTCTTTCGCAGGTGCTCAACTGATCTGGCCAGTTCCAGTCTATCCCACCTTGATTGGCACTTTTAGATTGCCCTCTTCCTCCACAAGTCGTTTTTTCTTCTTGTAGTCCTGGGGATTGAGCCCAGGGCCTCACTCACACCAGGCAAGTGTTTTACCACTGAGATGCATTGCGCAGCCCTTTTATTTTTATTTTTTATTTAAAAAAAATTTTTTTGAGGCCAGCCTGCACTACACAGCAAGTTCAAGGCCAGTCTGTACTACACAGTGAGACCTTGCCTCCAAAAAAGGAAAAGCTAAAATTTTATTTTTGAGACAGGGCTGGGGATATAGCAAAAGCACTTACCTGGCAAGTGTAAGGTCATGAGTTCAATTCCCAGTAAAAAAAAAAAAAAAAAAAAAAAGATAATGTTCTCTTAGTTGCCCAGGTCAAATTTGATCCTCTCCCAGGGTTCTAAATAGCTGGACTTCCAGGTGTGAGCCATTGTGCCCAGCTCCTACACAAGTCTTTATGCAGGGCCTTCCATGTTCTACAGCAAGCCTATCTGTAATATGCCATTTTCTCATGTTAAATTGCCACCCATGTTAGCTGACCCATGGCCATGTGGCATAGTCGGTACCTAGTTCATGAGAGTCACCTGGTGTCCAGTGGCTACACATTCAGGCCACATGGTCACCTGATAGCTCCTGGTTAGGCATTTATCCTCTGCCAGAGGGCCAGTAGTAAGGTAGAAACTGTCCAAAGTAGGATAGCTATCTGCAGAAGGTCTGTGTAGATTTGAGCGTTTTCTAGGCTTTGATTCTTTGCTGCTTGCCAGAGGCAGCATATAGTTTCCTGATTGGTCATAAAGATTTCGTGTCATTATTTCTGCTGAATTATAAGCTCAGGTGGTAGAGCAGCATGTACTGCAACCTGAACCTGTTTCAGGGCCTTATTTCTGGTTCCACCCAAAGTAGGAAGCTTGATGGCTGATTTAGCAATACAGTGGAACCAAAGTTCATGAACTTGATTCTTCCCATGAGTCTCATCAGAAACCAAGCTGGACAAGAACAAAATCAAATTCAGGGGTTAAGAGCTGAGTGTGGCAGCACACACCTGTAATCCCAGCACTTGAGAAGTTGAGGCAGGAGGATTGCTGTGAGTTTGAGGCCAGTTTGGCTACATAGTGAGTTCAGGATCAGCCTAGACTACATAGAAAGAGCTTGTCTCAAAACACAAAGAAAAAATTCAAGGGTTAGGTTCAAGGTGGACCTAATAGTGAAATTTGACTTGGTTCTTGTCCAGTTTGGTTTGTGAACAGAATCATGAAGAGAATTGAGTTTGTGAACTGAGGTACCAATATATGTAGTTAAAATTAGTGGAATCACATGTGATAGGCACTGGTTACAGAAGCTAAAAAGGCCTACCAGGTGTTGGGCCTCTTTGGTGGTTGCTGCTGAATCCCCAAGGACTTCACTGAGGTGTCAGGCCCCTGAATTTCTATAGATTTCCTATCCCACCCTTACCAAGGTATCTGAAATACTTGCTACTTCTTGCTCATCAGATCTACTCAGCATAATGTCATCCATGAAGTGAACCAATGTGATGTTTCTGGAATGTTAAGATGATCAAGATCTCTGTGGACTGTATTATGGCAGAGAGCAGAATGACAGAGTTCTGAGGCAGCCATGTGAAGGGTCCTGGTGATCTGACCAGGTAAAAGCAAATAGTTCCTGGTGGTCCTTTGGAAACTGTGTAGAGAAAAGCACCAGCCAGTTCAGTGGCTGCATGCCATGCACCAGGGGGTTTGTGATTTTGTTTCAGTGAAGACTGTACTTCCAGAACAGTAGCCATACTTGGAGTTACCACTGGATTAAATTCACTGTGGTCCCTGGTCATTCTCCACAGCCAGTCTAACTTCTGCACAGGCTGAACTAGTGAGTTAAATGGGAATGTGGCAAATGCTACCATCTCCACTTATTTCAGATCTCTGATCCTGGCACTAATCTGCAGTTCATCATGCAGTGCAGTCCTGCCTCCCTATTAGCTGGGACTGTAGGCCTGCACCACTGCATCTGGGTCATCTCCTTTACAGGCCCATGTGATTAGGGTAGGTTCACCTGAATAATCCAGGATACAATTAGCAACTTTAATTGCATCTCCCAAATAATTTTTTCCATATCAAATAACATTCATAGGCTCTGAGGGTTACAGCACAGGCATCATTATTCAGCACAGGACTGTGGGTATCATGATAAATCCAGTCCCATACTGTCCCAGGGAAGTGCTGTAACTCCAAGTCATTGACATCCAGTCCCACTAAGTCCAGGTCTCACTTGCTAAGCCATCCTCAACTGCTTGAGCTAAAACATCAATGGTTTCATGACCCAGCCTTCGGGTACAGTCAACGAGGACCCTAGAAGGGGAGTGGGGATTATAAAGGGACAAGAGACACGAAGAATGGAGGCAAGACAAGATTCTGATCAAGCCTCGTTTATTAGCGGGAAGTGCCGTGCTTATATACGGCATGGAGGAAACGCGGAAGTTCTAAGGCGGGAATAACCAAATAACCCGACAAAGGTGGGAGTAACTAGGTAACGGTGGGTAGTCCTAGTTCTTGAGGTGGGAGTAGCTAGGCAACGGTAGGCAGTCCTGACTTAAAGGGAAAGGCGCGTAAGACGGCTACTAATATACAATGGAGGTCAGTCTCGGTCTCCTACAGTTTCAACCTAGTTTGTTAAATTTTACTGTCTTTGACTTAGAATCCACTCCCACATTCCCACACATGTTCCCTTGGGGTTATTTTTTGTTGTTGTTGTTGCTTTGGTAATGGGAACTGAATTACTACAGCATGCTCTGAGCTGGCCTTTTTTTTATTTTTATTTTTTTGGTGGGGACAGGGTCTTGCTAAATTGCTCAGGGTGAGTTCAAATTTGTAATCCTCTTGCCTCAGCCTCCCAGAGTGCTGGAATTACAGGTGTGTGCCACTATGCCCAGCTATATTTTGTAACGTGTGGAAATTTGTTCACGTGGAAGGCATTTTCTCCTGAGATGTGATGTGGAACTCCTCCCATGGAATGAGCTGAGTTTCAACCTGGTTGTGAGTCTAGTAGCAATACAAAAGGTTGTGTAGAAAGGGCATCTGCCTCCTGTGAGGTTATTACAGGTTTTGAAGCAAAAATGGGTTGTCTCCACAGTGCAAGCTGTTCTGCTGGTAAGAGAGACTCCAAATGACCTGGGATTGGGGCTGGGGATTTAGCTCAGTGGCAAAAGCGCCTGCCTGGCAAGCACAAGGTCGTGAGTTCGGTTCCCGGTACAGAGAAAAACCAAATGACCTGGGATTCAGTCTGGCTCAAACCAGATATTCCCACTAATTTTTTTTTTTTACTCTTACACTCTTTACCAGACAGTACTCTAATGTTCACATGAGGAACTTAGGAATTAGCAGCAAAACTGCAGTTTTAGCTGATATAAATCAGTCACCTGCACAAGCTGAATTTCATATTTGATTTTTAGCAACTTCAGCCCTATGGCTATAGAAAATAAGAAATATTCTTCTAGAGTTGTCATGGAGGTTCTGTGTTTCTCAGGATGTGGGTTGAGTTGAGAGTTCAGGAACCTGAGTGCATTATGTTATTTCTGTAAGGGTGCAGTGGGCTCAACTGACTATACCATCCTAGGGTCCTCACAGACCTCATGCCCCTTGTAAAAGCCAAGTGCAGGGGTCACCTGGGCTCCTAAGATACTTGCTTCATTTAGCATATTTTTAGTCTGTTGCAATGACAGCCTGTTTAACCAAAGCTAACACATTCCATGGGACACTTGCCCCGCATCTCACCAGCAAGAACTCAGCATTGTGCTCAGCCCAAAAGGTTCAACTAAGCCAGTCCCCAAATTCCACTTTTATGGCCTATTACTGCCAGCACCAGTTCTGTATTAGACAGATTGGGTACAATCTGCAGACAGGCCGGGTGTGGTGGCGCACGCTTGTAATCCCTGCACTTGGGAGGCTGAGGTAGGAGGGATCATTGCGAGTTGGAGACCAGCCTGGGCTACAAAGTGAGCTCAAGGCCAGTGTGAACTGCATAGGGAGACCCTGTCTCAAAAAGACAAAACAAACAAAAAAAATCTGCAGACAGTTGCACAAGTGACTTGAGTGGGGAAAGTCTAACATAAAGAGGTATTAACTAAATCATGCGATTGGAGCGGTGGGCACAGGGGCTGGTGCTCAAGGGTTTGCCGTGATAGCAGGAGCCTGCCCACAAGCACACGGAGGCAGCAAGCAAATGGTGTCCACCTCACAGTTTCCTTCCAGTGCACATTACTGATGAAGCTTGGCTTCATGCACACTGGCAAGGGGCGTCTGCAGAGCCCAGGTCTGTTCTGAGACAGCAAAATGGTGAATTAGGAGCTGAGACAGTGAGGCAGTAACCAGCACCTCCCTGATGTGAGACTGGGCACCAACGTCACATGTTCTTGTGTGAGATGTCCTGCCTCAGTGCCACCTGCTGTTACAGTCAGTGCATTTGTCATGGGACTGGACACATGCGTCTTCATGGTAACTGGCTGTCACCAGCAGCTGGTGTCTCACGAAGGCCCTCAGCAGCAGGGCCAGTTGGAGACCCTGAGTCTCCTCCCTGTTTTGCCACCATTTGCAGCTTCCTCCCTGGTGCGGCCCCCTGCTTTCTATCTGGACCCACCCTGCAGGGAAGCTCTTGTATTCCTCCCTCCATGAGCAGCATGAAGTCCTTTCTGGGTGTGCATTTGTGATGAAGGCAACTCTCCTCTGCTTCAATCTATTACCTGATGCCTCTGTTTCCAGCTTGTCTGTGTGGAGCAGGAGATGATGAGGACCCTCCTGAGCAGACAAAGAGCTGCCCCCCATCAGAATGGCCTTTTGTGTGTGGGGAGTGTGAGGAGGACTTCCTGGCCAGCAAGGCCTCACCCAGTAACAGGCTGCCCATGGCAAGGGGAAACAGAACCAGCACCCAGGACCCTGATCCTCATGATTCTGCCCCAAGGCAGCACCCAGCAGGTCACAAGTGTGGCAAGTGTGGCAATGCCTGAATAGCCCTGCTCACTAGTGCCACCTGTGGTCCCATTACAGAGACCCTGTTCATGCTTAGCAAGTGGAAGTGCCCTCCCAGAGAGATCAGCTCTTCCTACTCAGAGAAAGCTTTATGATGGAGA